CTCTCTCTCTCTCTCTCTCTCTCTCTCTCTCTCTCTCTCTCTCTCTCTCTCATATGTCGTATCATCGCTTTGTCAATAAGCATTCTGGGAAATCTTCATAAATGCCATTGATGAGATGAGACGAATGTTTTTATCTTTGTTTTTTTCTAATCACTTTACTCAAGAGTACACACATGATTTCCCTTTTCGCTCTCATGGTTCTTGTGCGTGTAGCTAGATAGATGAACTTCTATCCTCTTGAATCACGTATAATTCATTCATTCAAGAATATATATTAGCTGGAACTGATCACATCCTTCTCCATCATGGCTTCTTCAAGTTCTTGAACAACTTTCACCAACTCACTTCAAAGTTTTCATCATTCCAACCAAGATTCTTATAATCAAATTTAAACTTTAGGGTTTACTTCAAAATTTAATCTTTATACATATATCGGAAATATTCACCGTTTTCAGAGTGATGATGGCGGTGAGCTCCGCCTGCAAAGGTGATCCGATGGGGATGGACAACGGAAAATATGTCCGGTATACGCCGGAGCAAGTCGAAGCTTTAGAACGCTTATATCACGACTGCCCAAAACCCAGCTCACTTCGCCGGCAACAACTCATTCGCGAATGCCCAATTCTCTCCAACATCGAACCCAAACAAATCAAAGTCTGGTTTCAAAACCGAAGGTAATTACTAGTTAATACCACCATGATTAATTACTTCTTCATCGATCTTGAATTGGTTAGAAAGTTCATCATTAAAAGGTTCGTCGTTTTGGATACACAGATGTAGAGAGAAGCAACGAAAAGAGGCATCGAGGCTACAAGCTGTGAATCGGAAGCTATCAGCCATGAACAAGTTGTTAATGGAGGAGAACGATAGGTTGCAGAAACAAGTTTCTAATTTGGTATACGAAAACGGCTATTTTCGTCAGCAAACTCAAAACGTACAGAAAAAATTCGATATTTTTCTTTTTTTTATTTTTTGTTTTACTGATTTTCCGGCGGATTTAACGGTTGCTGATTTAACGCAGACGGCGCTCGCCACCACGGATACAAGCTGCGAGTCGGTGGTGACGAGCGGTCAACACCATTTGACTCCTCAAAATCCACCAAGGGATGCCAGTCCTGCAGGGTTAGTTACATTTCCACTTGTACATCATGCATAGAATGTTGTAGTATTGATTTTTATAAAAAATAAAGAAAAAGATAGTTTTTTTTATATGTTTTTTGATCGAAAATGTGTTTTTTTTTTTTTTGTATTTTTTTAGGCTTTTGTCTATTGCAGAGGAGACTTTAACAGAGTTTTTATCAAAGGCAACTGGGACTGCTGTAGAGTGGGTCCGAATGCCTGGGATGAAGGTTCTTTGCACTTCCTTTAATTAATTAATATTTATTTATTTTTTAATTGTGAATAATCATTCCATTAACCTTAAATTAATATTATCTTTTTATTAAATTACTCTACTTTTTTTTCTAACCTTCTAACACACATCAGAATCTCATCATTTGAACCACTACCCTCCACATTCAACCTTTTCCTATATTTTTTAATTTAATTTAATTTAATTCCTGTTTCCTTTTTCAACTTCCATTGTTTAAAATTCCGATCTCAAAAGCAAAACTATACATAAAAGAATTAGATTTATTAGTTTTAATCATTTAACATTTTCATTTTGTGGCTTCCATTTACTTTTGAAATAAAAAACTATCTTAAGTTACATTTTTGGTTCCTAAATATTACTAAGTTTTGAAATTTCAGTCCTCATTTGAAGTTTTGTAACTTGTTCCTAGTAATATTTCTGGGACTTTCTTTTACTTAATAGGGACAAAAAAAACATTTTAAAACTTCAAATATTAACCAAAATTGTAAAAATTAGCAATAATCAGAGGGGCAAAAATGTAATTTACTCAACCTATCTTGACATTTTCTTAATTATGCAGCCTGGTCCGGATTCCATTGGAATCATCGCTATTTCTCATGGTTGCACAGGTGTCGCATCACGTGCATGTGGTCTAGTTGGTCTAGAACCTACTAGAGTAAGTCCTCTCCTAGATTCACTAAAAAAACCTTAAAAAAAACATGTTTTTTTGTATTAATATTTTTGGTAAAAAATAGGTTGTCGAAATCTTAAAAGATCGGCCATCCTGGTGTCGCGATTGTCGAGCTGTTGATGTTCTTAATGTGCTCACAACTGGAAGTAATGGCACCATTGAGCTTCTTTACATGCAGGTTTACAATTTTTCATTACTTAATTTCACACATGCAATGAGCACTTGTACATTTGTGTACAAGCTGTGTTGAACGATTTTTTAATAGTTTAATTGACTCGTTTTATCTAATTTATAGCTTTATGCACCAACAACTTTAGCTCCAGCACGTGACTTTTGGTTACTTCGGTATACGTCTGCTTTGGAAGATGGCAGCTTAGTGGTATGTTTAAAAATTATATAAATGGTCTTTGTGGTTGAAAAAAAATTTCTTTTAAGAATTTTTAATATCTTAGTCAATTTTAGGTTATAAACGTACACGATAGGTTATTTTCTGCCAACCACAATGAAATATCATGTGTGTTCTAAACATGAAAATAATCAACCATATTAAAAATTCTTCAAAAGTACTTACAATGGTATTTTCTGTCTTCCATAAGGACTATTTGTGTAATTTTGTAAAAAAAAAAAAAAACAATTTTATTTATTTATTGTGTTATGTTTTATTTGTATATTTTAAGGAAATGTTTGAATTTTGTGAAAATTAAGGTTTGTGAAAGATCATTAAACAATACTCAAAATGGGCCTAGTATGCCACCGGTACCTCATTTTGTGAGAGCCGAAATGCTGCCAAGTGGGTACCTAATTCGACCTTGTGATGGTGGTGGATCGATAATTCATATTGTTGATCATGTCGATTTAGAGGTAATTAAATTTATTTATAATTTATAAATGTAAAAAAAATTACTTGTGTTTTTTTTTGTTATATAAATTTATTTATAATTTCTTTTTTTTTTCTTATTGTGTAGTCGGGAAATGTTCCGGAAGTCTTGCGCCCTTTATACGACTCATCAACATTACTTGCTCAAAGAACTACACTTGCGGTATACTTTGAATACTTTCCTAAAATAAAAATAAAAATTCAAAATTTCTCAAATAAATACTCCAAATGCTTTCTAGAGAAAACTACAAATTTCGTCAATATGATTTATTGAATAATAAAAAGTTTAGTCTAATTTTTAAAATTTTCTAAAGTAGTCGTCCTTAAGTTTGCATTTCATTGTAGATTTCGTCCTACCACAAAGAAATACTAATTTTATAAGAAAGATTAAATTAAATTTGGGGTTCATGAGTTAAACTGTTTTTTGTAATTTTAGTTCTTATTTGAGGCTATTACAATGTTTTTTGTCCTTGTTCTAAGTAAATTGTCTACTTTTGGTATCTAAGTGTAGCTGATTTTTGTAATTTAGTCCCATAAAATAGTCATTTTATTTGGGATAGAAACAGAAAAACATTACAAAAAACCACAAATAGACAAAAATTGCAAGCGAAAACATTTTTTCCATGTAAAATACTCCAAAATTAATAAAAAAAAAATCAGGCATCTAGAAAGAAATAGTTTAAGTGTATAAGGACCAATTTTTATGAGAAATAACATTCGAACAAACTTGCAATTTTTAGTAAACTATAAGGACCAATTTTTAGTAATCGACTCTACTTTCTACAACGACGTTTTTCTCTTCTTGATTTCAGGCTTTACGCCAATTAAGGCAGATTTCACAGGAGATTTCTCAACCAATGGTGACTAGTTGGGGAAGAAGACCTTCTGCTCTTCGTTCACTAGGCCAAAGAATGAGCAGGTTTTTCTATTTATTTATTTTTAAAATTTTAAAATATCGTGTTTATGAAATTTATGAAGGTGTTTCATGTGGTGAAAGTGATTCCTAAAAGATTATAACTTTTGTTACAGGGGTTTCAATGAAGCCATTAATGGTTTCAGTGATGAAGGTTGGTCTATAATGGAAAGTGATGGAGTTGATGACGTCACTGTTCTTGTAAACTCATCTCCTGATAAAGTCATGGGTGCAGCTCCAATATACGCAGATGGATTCCCATCGATTAGCAATGCCATTCTATGCGCCAAAGCTTCAATGCTCTTACAAGTGAGTTTGACTTTTTTCTAAAGTCAAACATACCAATTTCAAAACTAAAATTCGTTACACTTTTTACAAATTAGTTGAATTCCACGAAAAAAGTAAACACATATAAGTATATAACATATTTAGTATATAGATAGTTTCGATTTTGGAAGTCAAAGGGTAATGATTTTGTTGGTGGCATTTTGGTAATTTTGTAGAATGTGCCACCTGCAATACTTACAAGATTCTTGAGAGAACATCGATCAGAATGGGCTGATAGTAGCATTGATGGATACTCGGCTGCTTCGGTTAAAAATGGTCCTTGTGGAGTACCAATGGCTAGAAATGGAAACTTTGGTGGACAAGTTATTCTTCCATTAGCTCATACAATTGAACATGAAGAGGTGAGTTGAATAATTAAAACATGAATTTTTATAATTTTTTTGTAATATTTGCGAATTAATTAATGTGGGTTTTTCTTTTTTGGAGTAGTTTATGGAGGTTATTAAGCTCGAAAATATGTCTCATTATCGCACGGAAGACATGCTCATGCCTGCAGATATCTTCTTTTTGCAAGTAAGAAATTAATATATAAATGAAAGAAGGTTAAATGCAAGAAATAGCAATGTAATTTTATTGATTTATCTAGTATAATATCATACATTCATTTCCTTATATTATAACCTTCATTGATTTGTTTGTTATGGCGTCCTACTTTCATTGCTTTAAAAATTTTACCAAATTATAGCAACGTCATTTAAACACAATTTTCAAATCTATAATTAAATTTCGAAGTACGAATTGATAATAAGCAAAAAAAATTGAAAGTACAACACTATAATATAAAGAAATAAAAGTAGGATGCTATAATAAACGATTAAACGAAAGTAAGTTGCTATTTCTTGTATTTAAACCAATGTATCAAATCTAATATTTATATTAGCAATTTTCGCCGATATAATTGGATAAAACTTTCAAAGTATAATGCCTTAAAAAGAAAAAAAATAATTAAAACATTCAATTCTATATAATTAAAAGTGCAACACTTTAATAAAAGAAATGAAGGTAAGATGCTATAATACGCAAACAAACAAAAGTACATTAATAAATCGTGCATTCAAGTAAATAAAATAAATCTAATATTTTGTAATCTTTTGTTCCCTAGCTTTGTAGCGGAGTTGATGAGAATTCAATCGGAACTTCCGCCGAACTTATTTTTGCTCCAATCGATGCCTCTTTCACTGATGATGCACCACTTTTACCTTCTGGATTTCGTATAATCCCCATTAATAATGTTACGGTATAATTTTATAAAACCTTTGGTAAAAAAATGTAGCAGTTAACATAATTATTGTTAACGACGCCAGAGTTGAATCTCAGTGGATCGTGACAGCAATGTTATATTGCTACTTACAATACTCTGTCGTGTATTTAACGTTTTGTTTTTTAAATTTTCATCATGATGTAGAATCACCCTAGTCAGAATCCGACACGTGACCTGGCATCGGCTCTCGAGGTGGGCCCACCCGGGAGCCGAACACCAGCGGATTACCTTGGACAATCGGGGCCCACGAAATCGGTTATGACCATTGCGTTTCAGTTTGCTTTTGAGATCCATCTTCAAGAAAACATAGCAGCCATGGCTAGGCAGTATGTGAGAAGTATCATTGCGTCTGTTCAAAGGGTCGCATTGGCACTTTCACCTTCACCTTTTGGCCCTAGAAGTCTTCAAATTCCCAATGGTACCCCTGAAGCACATATGTTGACTCGTTGGATCTGTCAAAGCTTTCGGTGAGCCTTTTTATGAGTAAATTACATTTTTGGTCCCTTGGTGTTGTTGATTTTTGCTATTCTTGTCCCAAAAAGTTTACTTTTTCTGTTTTAGTCCTGATTTGATGTTCTAGTAGCATTTTTGGTCTCTTGTTGCAAGTAAAATGACTATTCTTTTGTCCTCGAGTATAGCTGATTTTTGTCCAAAAGTTTTCCCCTTGCAATTTTAGTCTTATTTAAGTTTCTTGTAAAATGACTATTTTGGTCTGAATATTGCTGATTTTTGCAATTTTGGTCCAAAAAAATAGTCATTTCGCTTGAAATAAGGACCAAACACGTTATAAAACTTAAATAAAGTCTGAATTGTAAGACAACATTTTGGGGCCGAAATTGAAAAAATCAACTTTAGTCAGGGACTAAAATGTAATTTAAGAGAAGTACCTTGTGTCACTTAACTTGTATACTTTCGTAATGATGGTTTTTTTGTTTATAGTTGCTTTCTTGGTGAAGATCTGTTTAAAACGGTTGATGAACGAAGTGATTCGATGCTTAAAACACTTTGGCATCATTCAGATGCCATAATGTGTTGTTCCTTAAAGGTACTTTTTTTAATATCATTTTTAATGCTTTTTATATCCAAATGTTTTTAGTTTTTTTCAAAACAAATATTATTACATTTCTGCAGGCGATGCCAGATTTCACATTTGCAAATCAGGCGGGGTTAGATATGCTTGAGACAACATTGGTTTCACTTCAAGATATTACTCTTGACAAGATTTTTGATGGAGGTGGAAGAACGAATGTTTGCTCTGAGCTCCCACAAGTTCTACAACAGGTTAGAAAATGACTTAGTCATTTGACCCTGAAAAAAAGTGAAAATAAAGAAATATTGTTACACTATATACTTATTTTAGTTTTTGGTGTACATGTAGGGTTTTGTGTGTCTTCCAGGTGGCATTTGCTTGACGAGTATGGGGAGACCTGTGTCGTATGAAAGAGCAGTAGCTTGGAAGGTGTTGAATGATGAAGAAAGCCCTCATTGCATAGCTTTTGTATTCGTTAATTGGTCTTTTGTTTGAGTGGCTGAAAGAAAATGGAAAGAAAAACTTGGTGTTTTTAGGGAGATAAGTAGGTTTAGAAAGCCAAACATGCATGGTGCATACTATAGGAATATTTGAAGGGGTTTGGCTTTCTTTTGTTGTGCTACACTTTTGTGCTTTGTTCTTTGAGCTTATAAGATCTTTGTGTTTATTTAAAGATTCTTGAGTGTAGTTTTAGGGTTGACTTATTTAACTTTTCGAACTATATATCTTTGTTGATTTAAAGATAATGTTAATTATTCTTAAAAAAGATTACTTTTCTTGTTATTGGAACTTATTTGATATGCAAATCGGGTATATAATGGCTTGTTAAATAGTTAATGTACACAAGAAACATAATTCATATATAAGTGAGTAAGAGGCATTTCAGAAGAGTCATGACCTTGTAAGGGCATTTCAGAAGATCTACAACTGAATCAAACATATAATATCAAACAGTATGAGTTTAATTCAGATATCTAACCTCTTGCCAAATCCAATAAGAAACATATCAAGCAATCCCTCACATGGCTTTTCAATATATATGATGTTAATTAAACGATCACAAATTAATATCATAATATTTTACATAAGAAAAAAGGCATATTTTGAATATACGTGTATGTTTATATTCCTAAAAGGTTACATAAACACATGATACATACACCCGATGTCTAATTATATCCTAGAAAGTTACACATATAAACACATGATACATAGACTAGTAAGTTAAAAATCTAGGGTGGCAAATCGGTCCATCGTGTCGTGTTTTTGTCTGACACGACACGACACGATAAAGTTTTATGTAACACGAACACGACACGACACGATGTCGTGTTTTTTTAACTAACACGAAAACGAACCGATTAAAAAACGATAAACACGACACGACAAAGATAACATAATAAAAAAATTAGTTTATTTAATTAATATTTAATCATACATAACACGAAAAACACGAAAAACACGACAAATAAATGCTAAATCGTGTCAATTTCGTGTCGAATTTTAAACACGAAAACGACACAGCACGACATCGTGTTTTTTACAATTAACACGAACACGAATTCGAATTTCAGTTTCATCCCAATTTCGTTTCGTATCGTGTATTTTTGTCGTGTCGTGTCAACAATTGGCCCCCTATAAAAATCCAGATCATGTGTTTTTAAGGATAATTTTATTGTTTTTAAGGATAATTTTAGATGATTATACGTGGTACATTTAGTTAACCACAAAATAAAAACTGAAAAAACACTCACATGATATCCATTATAGTAGACCACTAGTATACGCATTAATTTATAGCCAAGTAACCCTTTTAATACTAAAACTCTTTACTTTTTTCTTAATCTTAATCTTAATTATCTTTACTTTTGTCTTTAATAGCAATTTCATTCCATGCAATCTGTGTAAAGTAAAGTAAGTCATCATCTATGTTACTTCATAGACTATATCAAAATCATTACTCTGAAAGAGACTTGGCCTTATATTATATATATCTTTATAAACATGTTGCAAATATAGCTTTTCAATCTCATCAAACTATACATACGCTTTCTATACATGACGAATATCAAAATGGTAGAATCTGGGAAGAACTTTGAATTGTTAAGGGAAGCAGATCATGATGGAGTTTTGGAAGCTGAATGTGGATGCTGCAGGCTAAAAGAGAAATGTACCCAAGACTACATTGTGGAAGTTAAGAAATTGCATGCTGGGATATGGGTTTGTGGGCTTTGTTCTGAAGTTCTTAAAGAACATTTATCCAAGAATCCTGAGATAACCATGGAAGAAGCTGTCAATGGTCACAGGAAAATTTGTCACAAGTTGATGCGGAATTTAAAATCCGTGACAATTCCATCCTTGGTCACTAATCCATTGGCGTTTCACAGGGAAAACCGACCTCTTTGACTGGATATGGAGAAGATACGGCGTTCTTGGGATATTAATAGTTTATAGGTACATATCCATGCAAAGCACGTGCAATTTCGAAGTAAACTCCATGTTAAAACATGTATCTTCATCAATTTATCATTAGGTATATTTATTTTTATGTTTAAATCGAAAGATTTATCCCTAAATAAAGTTTATGGTTAATTCTTATAAATTATAGTTTAATATAAATGTAGCAAGTAAACAAAATAACTTAAGCAAGTAAGCATATATCATATCATACTATATTATAAAAGAAATATTTTTTCTTTCACCACATTCATTTGAAAGTCTCATCTATTTTTCATTTCACCACATTCATTTGAAACTCCTATGATTTTTCAATTTCTTTCTAATAATGATTATAAGTTGGTTAATAAGATTAAATAAATATCAAACCTAAAGTGTAATCATATATAAACTAAATTTCAATATTAAAAGAATATATCTACTTCAACTTATAAAGTTATGTATTTTAACTTTTTACATATTATACTTAATTTATTAGTTTTAATATATTGTTGGATGTAAACCATTATTATTTTAAAGCTACAATTTTTGAACCATTTGTATAAAATATTTAAATTATAAATTTAAATATAACATTACATGACCAACTTAAATATAAATTTTAGTTTAACTTAAACAACCAAAATAATATTTTTGTAAATAGTTAAAAGTGATAAATTGTAGTGTCTTTCTAATAATGATTATAATTTGGTTAATAAGGTTAAAT